ACCAGTGAAACGTCATTGCGCCCAAGTCACACCTGGTAAACTTAAGAAGTTCTCGAAAAGTTACGACGCAAACCATCTGCGACCCCAGCTTAAGGCAGTCTTCGACGTCGGCACGCCAACTTATTGGGCAAAGCACCTATTGTTGGTACAGTCTATGATGCAAAATACTTATGCGCTTAGGTTCTGTCGCAAAATGGTAACCATGACAATCATGAAATTGACTAACGGGAGTGGGCATCTCGCAAGGTTCCAAATAGTACGAAAAGTAGCCGTAACACTGACCACAAACTATGCTTCGGCTTTAAATTCCAACCTGTTGATAGATTTACCACCTGGAGGACCGAAACAATTATAGTAGATATAATCATAGCGCTTTCATCATTAGCACATTTCTGCACCGTGGTTGTTGGAGCACTTAAGCACTAATATTTATAACTACTACTTCTTTCTAGCTGGGGCTTTTGAAAAGTCAATAAAATTGGTTTCCTGTTTCAAAACTGATCAAAAGTTGATTTATGATTATTTTAAGACACCTTTACAATCATTCGGACTTGGACTGCTGTTCTATCTTATTGCGTAAAGAAGAGGCATCCAAGTGTGCAATTTATTAGGCAACGAATTCAAAACTCAGCTGGGGATTTTCGTGAACAGACAACGAAAAGGGTTCGACAGCTACTTTGATATCGCTGTACGTTTGAAGTTAATCCACTGGGAACAGAAAAAAAAAATGGAAAAACACTTCTTTCCAGTCGGCTTATTAGAAAGACATTTACTGGACTAAAGCGGTATTTAGGCTGCAAACTTAATGGGTTTGATTTATTATTGCCGACCACTCCGCTTCACAAAATCATCACTAGTTGGAACTGCTTCCCAGTTTTTTTGAATCCTTCTTAATTTCAAGTTCACACCAAATCAAAACATCAGCACCCACTGGCTAAGGCTGAAGTCAAAACCAACATAAAGCTGAAAAGTCCTATAATGTATGAGTTATTCTCAAGTTTGTCAGGATACACCAACTCCGATTTCTAAAGTCCGTGAAGGTGGACCCCTACGTCTTGTTTCTTTTCGGGAAATCCAGATGCTACAGTATTTAATTCGGTCAGTGACTACAGGAGGAACGAGGCTTGCGCAAACGTGAATCCGTGTGCAGCGCAACTCACTCCAGTCCTTCCTACTACAGTCCTAGCGGATTACTTAAGATTTGATTAAAATTTTTCAACAAATAGGGGTACGATGTTAGTTTGGGGATTTCTAACCAATTTCAGCTGTACGTATTAGTTTCGAGGATTGAACGATTTTGCACGAGAAATGAACCTCCAGCTTTTGTAACCAGAGGCAGGCGTCAAGCCAATGTTTCAAATAAACCAGTAACTGGTAGATGGTCTATTTATTGCCATAATTCCTTATGACAATAATTATTCTCGAATTCGGTCACAGCAAACCCACGACTTGACTCAAGGACTACGCAGTATTTTTACTAGTAATGGGACACAAGACTATCAGGCTGAATGCATGCATGACGTGGGTTATTTGGATCCTGGGCTCTACTTAATGTTAAAAAAAGATTTTACTTGATAAAACTCTTGAGCACAGGTGCATTGAAGTTGCTGTCAGTTGAACAAAAGCATAAACGTCTTCCCACTCAGTGTATTGTGCATAGTTGATGGTAAAAAAATCAACGACGTCTTGAATGAGGGTTTATCGTATTTTATTTAATTGCAGCAATCACTCTTTTTCCGCATTTGATAACACCGATATTCACGTGAGTTGTTATGAGAATGCTCTAGTAGATTCCCTGTTAATAGCTTAATGAATTCTAAATTGGCAATCAGACACTAAGAAAGGAAGTACAAATTATTTCACAACCCATGGAGTGATTGACAATAAATTGTCCAATTATAAAGAGCAACTACGCTTTAGGTCAAATTTTTCCCCAAAATACATCACCGGATAATTTATTGAACCTTTTTAAAATAATATAAATCCTTAATATGTTATTTTCTTGCCAGCCCTCCAAAGTCTACATTGCAAGAGAAATTCAAGTCAAAATTACTCCACATTGCGTATCGACCACTGGCTTAAGAAAGTTATCGAGGTCCAACAATGACTGTACAAATTATTGCAATGGAAATGAATTTGATGGGTCTGTTGTCAATTTACTTGAAAGGAGTTACCAGAGGGAATGGTCATTAGTATGGCTGGCGAAAATTTCTGAGTCCTTAAAACAAATATGGGTAATTTGAATTGGACTGATTCGTAAGTTAAATAGGAGGCTAATGTTGGTAACGAATCTGTTACCAGCTTATCGAGCTAACAGAAGTTAGTCCAAAAGCCTGGCTTGAGCTCAGTTTGCCGCATTTGCTTAAGTTGAATATCTTCCAAGCATGTACCACTTTCAAGTGACGATATTTCCAGTCTAATTCAGTTAATCTCGAATCTAAGATAAATCGGCAACCGTTCCCAAAACATATCAACTTAAAAAAGCTATCCATTGAAGACAAGAAATAAACATCCGTCCAATTTGCGTAAAGTTGGATGGAGATTAGACTCACACATGAAGCCAATTTGGTTTATAGCTTGATTATTACAAGATTTTATAAGTAAAACCTTACCGACCCACATAACTAACCATGTTTACTCTGTTTCTCCCGTTTTGGGAGGGATCATCCGACCTCGGACACTTGAACTGATGTCGCATCCACATTCAAAATACCCATTCCTTCAACTCGATTGTTTTATAACTTAAATCACTCTCGATGTGTTCATTTGCTTTCTCGAAGGATGTCTCGCTCTAATTAAAATCGGTTTCTAATGAGAGAATTTGGTCCTCAATTAGCCTGTATAAAGAAAAGCGTGTGGCCAGGTTTGAATTTATTCCTTCCTACATGTAGTAATTTCAGTAGGATTTACATAAAAATGAACTCAAGCTATGCCTGCTTAAAAACAGGAAAACTCGACGTTTCATTATCTCCGGTCGGTCCAATTAAATGCTTTTAGGAAAATAGATGCTGGTTCAGCATGATTTTTTCGCAATAATGCTACCGCGCACTGAGCGATCTTCTGCCATTGTTAAAACACCGTAGAGTATATTACTTAAAAGGCACTAAACGGTGGCAAGAGTTCTGTGTCCATTGACTGAAAGGCCTTTAAAAGTGACATTCCGATATTGTACAGGTTGCTTTGTTTTTTGTGTACAAAAGCAAACGGAATTCTGCATTTATGTATGTTGTATTCCTAACTATGCTACAATAATGCCTATATTAGGCGACTTACGTGCAAAAGAGAGTGCTGGGGCCGGTGGTTCAGTCCAGACGGGTGCTTAGGTGTGCACTCTCAGTTCAGGCCATAAAATACTGGACGTCCGGTTATATTCCACTTTCCCCTTTTGTTTCACAGATATTGTTAATTAACGAAGGTAGGGGACATGAAATTCCAATGTTTGAATGAACGTATGTATTCAGGGCTATCAGAGCTCGGCCAGCAAGCAAGTTATTCAGTTGATTTTTGACTAAAACACCACGCCCGAAAAGAGAACGAACGCACGCCTGCAAGCGTACACGAGAGCAAGGGCGGCCCAGCAGCGTCACCTGCGAGGACACGATTGGTCAATGCGGTTACCAATAGCTGAACGCGCTACTCTACGGCATAGATAGGTGGGTGCGCCGAGAAGCAGCAAGTCGTGCATCCATGAGAGAGGGTAAAAGTTGGATGCCACATTTTTAGGAGGCTGAAATAGCTTATTAAAACTCTACAGTGTGCTGGGGAAAATGGTCAATTAAATTGCCAAATGTCCACAATACTAGCTCCTTCTAATGCGGGTTCAGTGTTTTTGCTCCTCCCAAAGTTAGCTTGTCCTACAGAATTTTGTCACTCTCACCCAGAAATAAGGATCAGCAGCACCTGTCGAATTGTATTGAAAAGTAGCGTTTTTCCTGCTACGCTTGCTTTTTGTCTCTTGCCGGCCCATATAACTGGGTGTCACACACAATCACTTATCCATACTGCGCTGGTATCACGAGGCTTCGGGGACGACCGGGTTTCAAGGGACAATAGTATGAAATTAGCATTTCTTGTAATTCGTCGACAATTTGCTGTTTGAAGTACACAGTTATCTTTTACTTAGAAGGCAATCATTGCATCGATAATTATGCCAGAAAACGGACGACAGCTTGGCGTCCATCGGTCATCTGTTGAGTTAGTTTTATTAGCCAAGTTTATGCGGAACTCGTCTACCTTATTTGACATTTGAAACATTGCGGAAGTGTTCTGTTGGCGCCTTGGCTGGTTGATGGGATTTTCTTAGCAGTCACGTCCTTCGTAATTTTGTTATCAAGTATCCAAGAATGAACTAATGGAACGGAATATCTGCCCCACAGATCGCATAGTACAATGTTTACTGTTATTTCTCCCTCGAAACTGCTTAAAAGTTCGTACAACACGATAAGCTCATTTAAATTATTCAGCTTGCGTGAAAATGTCTCTTTTTCGTTAAATTACAGCACAATCTGGACGAAAACGAGCTTAATTGAAAGTTAGATTTCCTAATGCAACCTGACAGCTGACAATTTGGAGTGCTGATGAAAGCGAACGCGTGCTGATTCTCTGGAGGTACTTTTTTGTGGCCAAAAGGAAAGTTAGCACTGAGAAATACTTTATTTGTCTTCAATAAACTTTCAGAACAGCTGAATGTACAAAAAATACAGCTGAAGTTCAGAAAAGTTGCCTTAAAAGTGTAAAAGCATAAAAGAGGACCAGGACAAATTGATTTAATAAATTGTTTTAGAAGATTGCAATTTCAAAACTTATCAAGCTTGCGTAAATAAACCTCAAAATCAATCTTTTGCCGTCATTAAACATTATCAGTATCTAGTGTGATACTCAAGGCCCTTCACGTTTCGACAAATTGAAATTGATTTCGAAGAAACCCTTATACAGTAAAAACCAAGTCAGCTTGAAATACTTGAAAGGAGATAAAAAAACAACTTAGACAACCAAAAGTAATGAAAGTCAACAAAACGATGAGCATGGGATACGTGATCTGCGGTTCTCGCCTTATCCAGTGCTACCAGCGGGTAAGTAGAAGCACAATTGATAGCGAAATTTTAAGTACCTCCGCCGGTTCGCATTCACGACATTACATCGTCCATTGAAATTCATGATATGAATTTACATCGTCATGAATGTCAATGGACGATATAGATTCATATCATTAAAATTGAACTGGGTAAGAATCTCGCGCGTACACTGGAAAATTGTACTCATTTAGCTTGCACATAAATTGCATAACTAGAGGATGTGCATCAGTGACAAATCTGGTTAGTGGGCATGCTTCACCTCACTAAATTCCAGCCTCAAAAATTAAAGTGTAATGGCAGTTTAGTTTAATGCAGATTAACTTGAGTTTTCCCCATTACCACAAACCTACCTTCCTCTTCAGTTTGATAGCCAGACTTTGACACATAAAGCAAATACTATCTAATTCAATTTGGCCAGAAATTACTTAGTTTAAATTTGTGTCAGTTAAGACAATAATTTATAACCGCAATTGCCTTAATTCGGACGTTGCGTGTTTCTGCCAACGCCTTTTCTCGGTGTAGCAGACATTCGCATTCACTCTCACACCACGTGCTAACTCAAATCCTTTGGCCATACAAGCCACACACTGATGTCAACGGACTGACGGGCATCTTTGGGTTTGGGCACATTCATTTGCACTGGTGGACTATCTAACCGTCAACAGACTGGTTGCGGCCGAACGACTCGCGCGATTCCATTCTGACAAAATCCACTTCTGTGCAACTTCTGCAGTTCACTCATTCAGGTATTCAGACTGCTGAACGCTCCCACCAATCTGCCATGTAGAAACACCTCGAAACGACTACCCCACCCTCGTGTCTACTACACGCTTAGGGGCTTAGTGAAACGCCCCATCACGACGCACTTTCCCATTGAAGCCTCTGACGAATCGAGGAGTCTGAGGATTCTACAAATGCTCGTATCACGCGCAACATCAGTTTCCTCCAATGGTGATGGTGCTTCGACGAAAACTCACTGCAGTGAGTGGCATGATTCACAGAGAGGCCAGCAGACGACTTCGGATTCACTTAACACTAGGTACGCGTGCACACACACACACACACACACACTGACCCCAACTCGGACACGCCTAGAACGCAAATTCACTTTACGTCATCCGTCTACTCACGTTTGCCACGCACTAAAACAATGCATTTTCACGAATGCCGAGGATTGCTCAACTTATTTGACACCCCAGCTACCCAAATAACACATGGGCTTTAGTTTCCAACTTCCGATTGGTGTGTTCGACATTATTGTGCTCAATTGATTACTTCATCTGACATTGCTCAGTCTGAGCACTATTTTCTCCACCACACAAATCAATCCATGCTCCATCCCCCGTCGCAGTCTTGGCTCTGTGAGGTGTGAGTTAACACCAATCACCCACCACGAGTCGACTGGCTGGCGCACATGCGTGGCGGTTTCTGCGTTTATTGCAGCAGCTCGTCTTCGCTCGCCTCGGTCGCCGTCCACATCACTTCTGTCCGCTTCCAACGCCCCATCCGGTCGCCGCAGACTGCTTTGGGTAGGGAGGAGGCGCTGGAACGTGTTCGGGGTGCCTCCACCAAGCGAGTTCTCGACCACTCTACTCCGGTGAGCATGTTGATTTCGATCGTGATTTCCTACACACTGGTTCAAAAAGCAGCCACATCGGAGTTCATGGAAGTTGTTTTGACCTGGAGCATGTCCAAATAAGTCGCCTAATTCAAACCCGTTTTGCTTGGTGCCTTTTGCGTATGTTTAAACGGCATTCCTTTGTCAATTTTCATTGGACTTAAAAAGTGTAAAACTGACCTGTAAGCAATGGTTTCTGGTAGACTTATTAATTCGGGAGCAATCGTTCACAGCGCAAGCGCCTTCTTCAATTGCTTTGTCTTCTGAAACTACTGCAGTCAACTGAACTCTTTGGAAACATATTCTAGTTCTTTTAAAATTTGAGTCGCATTTTCATTGTTTTAAAATAAAACAAAAATTTTTTGTTCAGACATTGCGACGATTAAAAATTTAATGCTGGATGCTACATGGTTTAGAAGACAGGTTATCAGTTCCTTCGCGCATTAAAAGTAACTGTAGTACCTTTGATAATTTATGGTGTTTTCCAACGTATTTAATTTGAAACACTTTACTGCCACACGCACTAGTAGACAATCAAACTGGCCTGCCGAGATTTCGAAACTGTCACGGGTGTAAGTGATTTTGTGGAGGCAGATTAAGGCAGGGTTTGAACTCTAGTCAACACATGCAATTCCTTTGAAGAGAAACAAGGTATGAGGTGAAGACCTAGATTGGGGATGAAAACAATGGTCACTTGTGAGGAATCTGAAAGGTCGGTTTTAACGTTTGGTCGATTTGAAAACAATAATTATTAATGGATTAGATAATCAAAAATGACAAAATTATTACAGCAAATCACGGCTTGTGTGTGTGGAACTACCAACCATTAATTGAAATGCTTTGATGCAAAGTATGGTTGATTGGAATTGACATTATTAATGTTGCAAGCATGCCCTTTGCATCTTTCGCTCAAAGTCTTTTGAAATGATTTTAGTCCTATCGATTTTTAATCACACACATATTTTGTTTAAATACACTTTTGGAGATTTTAGAAAAAATCATTTTTAACTTATGAAGTCCAACTAGTCTATTATGAATGGGCCTTTCTGTTGATTGTCATAACACGCCTTTGCAAAACTGGTAGATTTTTCTTGCGTAGTAATCCAGAGACATTTTGGGTCTAAATAATAACTAAGATGGGTATTAATAAATTCGAAATTATGTCTTTTTAAGTGAATTTGCAGACGTTATAAAAACAAACGGTCTTCCATGAAGTGAGAAAAGTAGTCAAACTTAGTTTGCCTTCCAAAACTGGGCTTTGCTTAAGATCGTCACCGTGTGCAGTCTTAGCAAGATAGCTGGAGAGCAACCTCTGTAAAGTGGAGTCGCATATAAGCTACAACGATTTTATATTGATTTTTATTAAACTACTGGCTATTATAGCATTTACAAGTTATTCTACCAACTAGATCATTTGAACTAGTGCTCTGTACCAATGATTACTTTATACGAGCATTGGTAAAACAGTAAATTAGCGTTCATTCATACGCGCACATGTTACGAACAAGTTTAATTACTGCCAGGTCCCATGACGATAAACTATATTATCATCCTGACAAATGATTGTTCCTTGTTGTTAATAGAAATGAAATGTGCAACGATAGGCGACGCAACATCCCAGAATTTGTAGACCACAGCACTCTAAGGCGATTTCCCCACGCACCTCCAACCGAAAAATGAGAAAACTTCACCGCCATTTGTAGTAAAGTATCTTGAATTTGACTATTTCAGTCTGATCACATTCTGAGATTCACACTATTTAGGTGTTTTATGCAATGACCGAGTGACTTTTCGATAACCTGACACAAGTGACCCGGCTGCCCATTCATCAAGGAGAGCCATAAATGTGGGAGTTTTCTTGTCTATCGATTATTTATTCGAGAGACACGAGGCAGCACACCGACACACCATAACTGACACCCCACCAGGTAGTGGCCGATTTGATTTGTGTTGACACGGACGCACATAGCTTGCTTAGCTAATAGCTTGTGCATCCTCCAGTAGAACCTACTTCCTTTTTCCTTTCGCAAAGCGTGGGCAGATTAATTATTCTTACCGTTTCGCCTGGGTTAACTGTACTGGTTGATACTCATAGCATTTTAATAGGTAGGCATTCATGTCTATGTGAAGGAAGCAGCCGCATTCATCAATTGGGTGGAAATGCGAGGAAATTTGACAGGTCTATTTAAGTAAACTAGAACGGACTCCTATCTGCAAACCGCAGTTTGAATTCCGTTGCCTATCAAACCGTCGATATAAGATTCGTGATATCCAGCGATTAAGATTACTTAATGATGCACTACTGCTGCAAAGAGGGGAAAATAAGCGATGGATTGGATGGGGTGGACGCGGGGGCAAGTGATTCACAAGACCATTGCTTTCTGTTGCTTAGTTATTTAAAATGTTTCAGGGATTCTTCTTGGAGCCATGAGTGCCAATTTTAACTAAATGGCAACAATCATGAAACTGTCTTCATGAATGTGATCAAATGATAAAGATGACGCTGATTTAAAGTCAATTTGCAAGTCTATTTTTTCGTTTTAGTGACGTCACTGGTAAGTCTAAACTTGGGCAAAGCTAAGATAGTTTGTTAAAGCTTATCACAATCAAACATATTAGAGGGGATTCGTACTCGCTGATCAAAACACTTGTTCCAACTTCAAACCGAGAAATGGCTATTATGTTTTCAATTAAGTAAGGTCGTAAAGGTAACCGTGATATTATTACTGACCTCAAGTGGTGGCTTTCGACTGTCGTAAACCATGAGCTGTTTTTCGATAAAACATTTGCGTAGTTTGCAAATGCTCACTCGGATATTTGACTTTGTCAATAATGTAATAGGCTACTTAAATCTTCCAGTACGCATCAGATAATTCATCTTGAAAAAGTTCGGAGAAAGAGTTGGGGGAGTTTCAAAAATGTTAGTATAGGACCTCAGAATGCTAGAAATGTTTCTACATTGTGTTAACTTTTGACTAAGAATCCCACATTTCTAAGAGTCGCTTATCCGTTTTAGAGCTTCCATTTTATCCCATGAATCCAAATCAAGTTGTCAGTTTTGACACTGACACTGCAGAAAGTACCCCTTGGTGGACATAACTTCGCGGCATCAATAGAATATTAAGGAAGATAAGCCCCGTGAGTCCTTCAAACTCGCCACCCACAAAATCACATAGGTGAGTATACCATTGACAATCCTCTGTTGAGCAGTGGATCACTCCGCTTCCCTAAAAATAATGCATGCTACCCAAAGTGGGTTTAGCATAAATTCGAGCCTTGACGACTAGAAAGCCGCTGTTGTGGTCCCCAGAATGTGGTTTTGCACCACGTCGGGGCCACTCAGTTGGATCTGGCCCGATTACACCACCCTGCTATCCGCAATGAAGAAGGCCTTTTACGCCAGAGCTCAACCACGTTGGTGTCGTTGCGAGTGTGTGTTTATGCTTCAGACGTGTGAGTCATAGCCGTGCTAGCATCGAGACCTAGAAGAAAGGCTAAGCTAGGATAATCGTTCGCGCTAATGAGGGGGTGTTGAGGATCCGTGCAGCTGGGGGCATGTTGTGAAAAGGGGGACCCTGTATCGGAGGCCGGAGTGACCGGATTAACGAGTGTGAATCATCGCGATTCACAACACCACCATCACCTTCCACTCTAGTTTCACGAAGAGATTCGGGCACTTACGTTAGATTCCATCGAACCTGCAGAGCAAGTATCCATTAATAATCAACCACCATGCGTTGGTGGACACCAACAAAGAGTGTAGATTGTGAAGTGTAATTCAAACCATTGTTTAATGGATGGGCATTGGTTATAGTAGAAATAAACGGGATTCGTCAATTGGGGCTAAAATTACAAATTGTGCACAGACTTCGCAGTTGAATTGGGTTTGGCGGCAGGGGGCGTTCGTTGGCACCTGTTTACCGGAAGTTCACAACCGCTGCCAATTCGGTTACACAGAAGAATCCACAATGGGTGGAGATCTAGCGTGATTGCTGTTCCCCTTGATAAACTCTTCACTTTCAACGACCCTCGCCATTATCACCTACCTTAACTTCACAACTCTCTGCATGCATCCTTCTCACATTGTACGCGGGCCTTTGATGACTACATTGACATGACACTTCTTTGACTCCGCGCCAGCTGTCAGACGATAAATTCAAACTTGAGTCCCAACACGTTTACGTACTGCATTTGCAACTGAATCGGATGCCATATCTTATAAACCGAAATCCAGAGCACAAACTGGAACATCGCTGGTTGAGAACGGTTGTTAGCGGGATAATTAAGATCCTAATTTGTATTGAAATGCGATTAAATTGGGTTACCCTATCAAAACTGAGCCATTTTAAGGTGTGATACCCAAACACCACAGGCCAGTAAAATGTACGGGCATAAAAAAAAATGTTACGCAAAAATCAATGATGGAGCGACTCGGTTTATCAACAGAATAAGAGATCAAACAGCTGGAAGACATAAAGTGATGAAGTGTTGACCAACGTGGAGGTTGAAAAGAGGGATTACTCAAGACGGGAAAAATACAAAAATAAGCATTAAGTTACGTGGCTGAGTGTCCGGGATGGTAATGCGAGCATGACCGCAGGGTACGGTGGGAAAGAAAGACGCCTTTTTTGTGGTGCATGTGCAAACGAGCATCTGTCAACTTAGAGCGAGGGCCAAATCGTTGAGTGGTTGGTATTGGCTGTCTCTCTAGCAGTGAAGTGGTTTTCCGTGGTTGCAGGAACGGAGGCGAAATTAAAGACAGATGCTCCGGAGCCAGTACGTTGATGAACTCCTTGGTGGTGGCGTTCGAGTTTGGGGAACTCGATAACTTCATGTTTTGGTGGGATGCTGCGAGTGCTTTCGTTGCCGGGACTGCACTCGTTTGAAGAGGAGAGGAGGGTGTAAGTTTCATCGGATAGACCATGGCTCTTCCTTTTACACCAAGTAGGAGAGAAGCGATGCTTTATGGGTATATCGCCGTTAATGTGGACTACGCGGTTGGGCGTCGGGTTTGCGAAATCCTTAACCAAGTCGTTTAGTGAAACATTCAAGTCCTAAAAGTGTGCACAATTGTTAGAGAGTAATAATGTGGAGTAAACGACAACCACGGTAATAGCACTTGTCAATCAAAACAAAACAGAGCAAGTGAAGTCATATTGCTGCTGGAATTAAAAAAGGAGTCTAAATCTCGTACCAATGTGATTTGAGGCCTGTTGTCGAAGATGCGATTCAAACGACTGAAGGGTGATAAGTGCTGAGATCACGTTTAATTGACACGATTAACCATTATTTTTACTTCCCGATTTGGCTTTCCATTATGCAAATAAAATAATGTGCGACTAAGGCAACCTCAAGTAGCCTGTCCATCGGAATCAAAATGCGTTCATAAAGGAAAGTCTGGTGTCTATTGGGAAGATAGCAATGCGCAAATCCGAAACATTTGAACGTAAAAACAACTATTAGATGGCAGCTGCAGTCAAGACACTGAATAAGGATTTGCTATTGCCTTAAAATGGAGTTTTAAACACAGCGTGAAATTAAGTTACCTAATCGGATCAGCCTACGGCCTTTGCAAACAGAAAGCTCGTCGTACTTGGCTCACCCTGCTCGAGTTTTACTCATAAGCGATCACACAGGATTTCTGATAGTCGTATTATTCCTACGTGTTGGTGCATCTTAGAAAATCACACGGGAACGTGGTTATTTGCTTTTCGAACATGTGCACTCACCGTGAGCCAGGCATCTCCTTAAAAAAATTAGAAAGCCATCATAAGTGCCATAACACCACAGATTTCAATGTGACAGGAAGGAAGGAGTGAGGATTGGGAGGGCGTTGAGGAAGGTTGACTTCTCAGCGTATCAGCCAAGCCAAAACAAAGACGAGCGTTCTAGCCACCAGACCAGAAGAACCACCCTGTCAAACAGAACAGAACGCCTACAGGCACAATGTGCCAAGTTTGGTGCTGTGATGCAGCCAGGAAGTGTGAAGTTAGCTTTATAGCAGCCATGCGCCGGAAAGGAGCCTGATAAAAGACACTAAAGTCATTTGCATTAAGGACTGCACGGGACCGGCGAAACCTTAAGTCATTATAAGTAACTAGTAGTACATAATGACCGAAAAATTAGAAGATTATGTGCGTGTGTCTGTGTGTTCCGGAAGCGACTGGAATTGGTTTTTAAAGCCAAAACCTCAAATGCGAGCCACCGGCTTCGAAAAAAACAAACCACTGTTTTCAAATTCCTCACACTCACGCTTTAGCCCTAAGTTTGCTCGTTGATGGGGCTTTGCTTATGCAGTTGTAAGTCGATGCTATTACCAAAAAAGTAACTGCGACAGACTGCTGAAAAGCTAAGAAGTCGCAACCAGTTATCAGACATTTGAAGCACTACTTCGGTTTCTCAATATAAGCTCGGAACATTTTAATGCTTGATAATCAAAGAAGTCCAGGACGTGCGAACACAGACGTAAACGCCGCATCGTTAGGCAAACACTTGAAAACCAAGTAAAAGGTCGTAATATGACTTTAAAATTTTAACGAATAAAAAATATGTACAAGGGAATATGACAGAGGAGGGCAGTACGGTGTGTCGATGCGGAAAAAAGGCATGGCAGGGACGAAGAGGTGCGTATTTTGAATGAAAAACGGTACGTGTTTCCTGATTTGCACCTCTAAAAATCCAATCGGAATTTCTTAGAAGTTTGATGGCGTGGAAGCAAAACGAAATCCCCTAAGGAGCCAAGAGGATGGCCAATGTTCGTTGGCTAAAACAATACAGGGAGGGCGTAAACACGTGTGCACATATTGAGAACACGCATTTTCTTACATGATAGCATCACCTTGCGAGGTAAGTTTGAAGGACGTCTCCCAAGTAAGGTACATTACGCTCGTGAGCAGCCTGACTTTAGTTAAATTATTGAAAACTCGTGATTACGCATAGGCGCTTGGTGCTCTTAAAATTGTGCATGAACTTGGAGCCATGACGTCGGTATCGTGCCGTGGCACAGAGGTCACGTTTAATGCTAAAATGACAGTTCACTAGACTGTTAAAAACAACTAACAAAGCCAACTGATAGTGGCGTATTGCGAGCTCCTAAATGATCCGCTATTCATGAAAGGCGCGAGGTAGCTGATGTTGGGTTGTAAAGCATGAAAATTCAAATACCTTTAAGTAGAAAGCAAAAGCATGCCATTAGCTTGAACAACGAAAAAATTTGACGAAAAAATGAGTCAACGATTCATCGAAGAAGCGACAAGCCGGACACAAACAAATTAATGGAAAAGCAACACTGGAATCATTACGAGTTAGCATCTTTAAAATGAGACTTCTGGTTACTATTGCTACTGACGGCATCGGAGAAACCAGTACGCACGCAAACCCAATGCTTTTCAGGCCGACGGAGGGCGAGCGTCGTGCTCAAGACATGCGCTCAAGTGCCGACCCACGAGCCGAGGCAGTTGAGGCCAACGACTGAGCTAAACGTAGACGCATGCCTTGGAACTTGACGGGCTACGGCTAACACGTGAACTTACACGCGCTTGCACAGCTTATTTCTTTCACAAATAGGACAAAATAAATCGCAAGGAAACCTGTTTGACTCTACCAACTACTTTTAATCCATGTTATAGCATAGATGAAGGGTTGTATGGTGTATTTAATAAGAAGAATCACTACTGGAATGTGAAAGGCTAACGCCAAAAATACACCAGCGGATGTCAAGAAAAAACCCAGCATTCCTGCCAATTTCAACCTTAACAGCAGGAGGAATTGGGTTCAAGAAGAGGAAAGAGCAATCGGGATTTTGTGAACCATATTGCCCTGTTTTGGCTTGCAGGAGAGTGCTGGTTTCGATGGCGGACTGGGATTCCCTTTATCTACCATGTGTCTCCAACTTACTTTCAGTCCGAATGGCAAATTATACGTTGGCACAGTTTGGTGCCTGAAAAAAGTGCACTATTAGAGAAGCGGCGGCATTCTAAAGACTTGGAATAAGTACTTCCCCAGTTGAATAAATAAAAGCTTTTTTGTGAATAACAAACCAGAGCGGCAACCCGAAGTAAGCCAAGAGGACGCCAAAACACAAGGCCAATAACGCTGACTAGGGCAGGTGGGTGGAAATGCAGACTCAACTTCCCCGCTCTCGGGTGGCGCACGATAGACACACTGACACACTAGAACCGATCGCAACATTTACAGGTAACGTCGAACACCGAAAACACAAAAGTTGTGAACGATACGTAGGTCTAAACATCAATTTCATTGCGAAGGCACCAAAAGTCCCGTGCCTCTCCAAAGCAAAGTCGCACTGAAACCAGAGTGGTAAGAGCATTTTTGTCAATCCGCTACAAGTCTTTTCGCTTACGCATAGTTTATTTTCTACACCTTGCGAACAGGTCTGCTGTGGAAAAAAGCCAAAAATCTAAAAGTACACAAGAAGGGCTGGATTTCTTTGTTTTTTTAATAAGAAATGGCAGATTGTCTTTAGTCTAACTTCGTGTCTGGCTTATCTGAGGCCGCACTGTGCCTACGAAGTGCGCAGTCCACTACACCAATTTTGAGACGCAAACACAAAAACCGATACAGGGTCTGTTACCAAAATTCGACTGCCCAGTTAATTTTTTCCGCACGTTTTGCTCCACTCAAGATGGTTGACAGCGCGAAGCCCAGGAAGGGAGGATAGCCTCCTCATTTGCGATATTATGCAGAGATTTAACACCTAACCGTCTACCAGCCTAACCCAAATTCAGGCATATTATTTCAAGTGTCTTGTACAGCGATGCTTGGCACCGTAAAGTGCAAAGAAACGCTGGTTTCATAAAGGTGGCGTGAATGAAAAGAAACCATCACAAGGACCTTTGATCACTAAAAATCCGCAAGACTGACCTTGAAAAGTGTCAGAAGAACGATGCCACTGACGATACAGATCAAGCCGACGGCATTGCCGATATAATCGGTAGGGGAGAGCGAGGAGCCCTCTTTAAAGAGAATAGTCGATGCGATCAGCACGAAAGCCGTGAAGAAGACGTACAACAAAGGAGTGACGATGCTCGTGTTGAAGACATCAAGAGCCCGATTCAGGTAGTTCAGTTGCACTGTCAGGCAAAAGGTCAGCCCGACCAAGAAGAACCAGAAGATCCACTGTTGTAAGAGAGCAAGGACCCCGTATTCAATGGCCTCCTATAAATGGTAACATTTACTAAAGATGACTACCAAGAACTAAAGGTGTGTTTCAACTAATGATTGAACGTCGAATGTTTGGAGACCACCCAGCTGTTCGGCCAACAAAAAACCCAGTAGAATTACTTAGTCTAGAATTAAGAGGCAATAAACGCAACAACCGTTTAATCTTTTATTCAAAGTGATTTTGAAATTCTTACGCGCAGATATTTAAAAAAAAATCGGGAAACCAACGGTGGAATTTATTCATTGGTAACTATTTTGCTATACCCACGAGTACTTTCAGCAACTGTATACGAAATCGCACATTACGAAAGGCATATTTTCCCATTATAGTTAATAAGTACCAAGGTTTTAGACTTTAACAGTTTACCAATCGGAGAAAAAGAGTCAGTGCATCAAAATATGTGATAAGGTAATTGCAGAAAAATTGACACAATCTGGCTTGCAAAAAACTACCACGAGGTGCACACAAACACGCATCAGATCTCAACTTGGCTAACTAACTAGTCGAGCGTCAACGTTCTTCAGTTTCATTGCCTAGATTTACTGACTGTGAAGTTTCTTGATGAAATCACAAAGAAAAACCGATTTCCTTCATAGGCTCTGGGTTTTTTCTAAACATGCCATTTGTCGCTGCCGTGGGTGTGCAAAGGAAAAATGGGATTCGGAGCTTTTTCAAACTGATTGTGGGTCAGGTGATACCAAACAACAACGGTGATAGGTCCTGGGAACAAAGTTGACAGCAACACACAGTTAATTTTACACAGCGGTTGGTGATTAGGTCTAATAGTATGAGGGCTCTAGGGCCTAACTGACTAACACGATCATGAAAGGACGAATTGGCGTTTCGTTATGCCATTAGGCAATCCACCCGTCAGAAAACGAACAAAACTTTCTACTATTGCGTATCAAACAGTTTTTTACAGTATTATAAGGTGACCTAAATGACGAATTCCCCTGATAGCTCCTTGAAAGTACTAATTTTAAAGTGCAATCGTCGTACTTGATTGTGTGGCGAGTTCAGGATATACGCAAACCGAACCATGGCGTTTACAGCATAAACTCAAGAAACTATCGATTGTCGACTGTAACCCCCAGTTGGTTTGGGCTGGGTGATTTGGCTTCTGCACTTTGCAAACTTGTTTCAGAGCAGAAACACACACACACACAGCTTCGCGCACTGAGTCTACCGTTTTTACACAAAAACACGCACTGACCCATTGAACGTGTTGCTACATGAAAAGGGCTTTCGAGGGCTTACATAGTATACGAGAGTAGGGTTTTGTCAAAATCAGACTCTAGCTACTCAACTACAGAAGGATTGATTTAGGAAAGATTCTGGATAAGTGTCTAGGTAGTCGATAGCGAGAGAAGGAACTAGAATATTTGGAAGTGAAAAGAGCGTAAAAGAGACGAGATTTACCAAACTTAAGTTTAGGTAGTGTTTGAACACTGAATGGGATCAAAGTTATGCCAAGGCACATCTGAAGTCATCAGTTTTAACTGACAGCGCTACAAACGAATCTCAATGACAAAAGCGCCCTTTTATGACCCTGTCCCATATCTGAGACGTAACTTTAAAGACATAACGGAAGAGAAATTTGTAAGTTTGGACCACGAAAATATCAGAAAGCATAAGCGTGTGCGTATCAGAATTTCGCCCATATTGCACGCCTCAAAATTCACCAGTAAACAGATTCCTACTAAAAGATTAATCAAGTATTACCACCAAGGAAAAAAGTTACACTTTCCAATTCAACGCGAACGTTGAGATAAAACTACAGTGAATCAAAATTGAGACGGCATATAAATCCAAGATTTTGAGTGAAAAATTGTTCCACTTTATAAATCCAATGAAGTAATTAGCAATCTTGCTGAATTCGTGAACTGGAACACTAGTCCTTTAAATGAGATTAAAGCCTTTATTTTACAATCGTGGAGATAATTCAGAGAACAATCGCGAGGTATCACTGGAACAGTATCGAGACTGTCAACGTCATCGCACGATGCAACTTAAAAACGGTCAATTAATAGTGCTATCCTGGGATAACTTTACACAATTAAGCATGCGTGAAGACATCATAAAACCGCACATCGGCAGTATGCAAATTGGATTGTAATGTGTGATCAATCGGGTTTGTTGAATATGAAAAGGATATAAAACAACATCTTGAAACACCATTCCCTTGAATTGCGCGTTATGTCGAAAAATTAGTATCGTGGCAAAGTTAAACGAGTGTCTATTGAACAAAACCAGATCGAAAAGACTTCGTCCACAATTCAAAGGCAAAAAGTTGATGGATGTTCTTGGGAGGCAAATTCGCCCAGAAAAAAAAACATTTCAGAGGCATTTATGATATAAACTATTGCAAACCTGAGCACGTTCACTCTATTACTGTGGATACTATTCGTGCTCGAAGTAAGCTACTTTGAGAAACATCAGATGTCTAACCTCTGGAAAAAAAGGAAACAAACAAAGGGAACTTCATTCGACAAAATGCTTCCAGTCCAATTGAGGTGGTCATGTACCACAATGGTTCAAGTGCTTCAAACACGGAACCCAGAATCACCCGCACATTAATGTGCCTTATTATCCTGGCGCCCGTCGCCGGTAGCACCGCAGAGCGGGAGCGAGGCTGGCCTTTTGGTCAAAAAAAGTATGCAGAAGAATAGTGTAATATTAAGGCTTGAATAAAATTAACTAGCGTGGCAAGTTGGCTTAATAATGCGCAGCTGCCCACATAATAGATGATACATTAGGAAAGTGCGTTTAAGGTAATTTTATACACAATAGATTGGGATGCCTTTTACAATCGCGTCTATGGGGTTAAAAACCCTTTCGTTATTTTTGGACTGGTGGTGAATAGGTGTTTGCTGAAATAAAAGAAAAAAGACAAGAGCATATATAAATGATCACCTCCAAATTTTAACACATTCCAGCGTAAAGAACTGCACACCAAGGGGAGCTGGGCTGGAAACAGACCGCACGAGGGGAGAAAAAGGAAGGTAACACACCTTAATGCCAAGGCCGATCCCTTTGCAGGCCATGACTGAAAGCGAACCGATGCTGCCGCTGATAAAAACGAAGACGAGTGGATTACGGCTTCCGAACTTCGGAGCGACCACAAAAATTGACACTATGCCAGCGATTGTGATCGCAATTGCATAAGTGAGGAATCCTGTGAAAAGAAAAGAGAATCGAATCAGGCTAAGCCTCGTGACCCCATAAGCCTTCCAATCTACAAAGTGGATCCGTGGTTCTCATTGTAGCTTAACAGCCGACTAATCACAATTAAAGCATTGGCTGGAAGTGATGCCAATTCATCGAATGCTACTTGTGAATTTTGAATGATAGTACGGGTGTTGCCTGGGGGAAGCACATTCGACTCCTGTGGACGTAATATAACGGACATCGACTTCCACGCTGCCCTCTCTCACCTGAATTACGAAATGCTCAACCTAATGATTTCGAAGGACGACAAGTGGCGCACTGGTTCGGTTTGGAAGCAACAACCAACCGTCTCTTAGAACATATAAGGCCCAAAAAGTGTGCTTCGGTGGTCTCAGGGGCTGATGGATTAATGATTCAACTTCGAAATATATTACTTTAAGTTTACAAAGGCATGAACAACACAGGTACTACCACAAAAACACACATGTTAGGTGTTGTTAAATTCAGAAAGTTCCCAAATTCAGATACTAAAAGGGATCCCGCGTTAAAAGGCCTTCGAGATCTGCGTGGGCAGTTGCACGTGTACTCTAACTTACGCGTCTGGATTGTAATTTCAATAACAAATCAGTTACCTGTTGCGCGAAAATTGCTCTTTCGCCACGTGACTCAAAATTACACAAATTAGCCTCAGTTGTGCTTTGAGGGTTTGTAATACAAGTCGCACCGGAAACAAAAAAAATGAGGTACGACAACTTCACTTGGACTTTACAAAACCATCAACGATGACCTTGCAGGGTTAATAATACTTTTGGCTTAAACATCCTCCGTGCATAGCAGTTAAATCTACCAAAAAGCCGGTCGGTTGAGATTAGGCCATGAAGCACCAATTTCACACACAGTCGGGACTTAGTAGACGTTAATCATTGCCGTTAAAATTGGTATTGCAAGAACTGTAAGGACAAAAGACTAGTCCCCTGAAATGCTACTCAAGGCGAGGCATAGAGACAAGGATTTATTTGAGTTAATAAAATATAAAAAATGTTAACTGCATGTTGGGGTCACCAGCATGGCTGCAAACAACCGAATGGTTGTGAGCCCCGGGATCACTGGCGTCAACGACAGGCAAACAGGATTCACTGCTTCCTGGTTAGGGTTTAGTTTACGAAGGATCGCTCCGAACTAAGTTATAATTAACACAGAACTCTCTGACACGTGAAAAGTACAGCTGGTGTGAACTAAATCACGTGCTGTGCAATAAAAACGTTATTCTGCATTAAATATTGATCTTGCTAAATTTTGATGTGTTATCAACACACAATTGTGGCAGGCTTGAAAAACTTTCCAGTAGTCTGTACATTTTATAGAAATTCATTTATTTGTTAAACATACTTAAAGTTTAGCAAATTAATGTAAGGATAATTGGCAGTTGAGCGCAGATACATCGCTTCATGGCCAATTTTTGTAAACACCTACAGAACAAACCGACCCGAGACATGGGAATCGTCAAATGCAACAACCGAAGGCTGCTAACAGGAGATACAAATGAATTGGGAACATCAAAGCACCACGGTTAAAGCCAGGCTTAAAATTATTTGGTTTTGAACAAATACCAAATCCCCATAAGCCCACTCGTATAACTGAGGAAAGTGTAAAAATCCTAAATAGGTAAGAGAAGAATGTCGATGTGTCTCAATACAAAAACTGTCTCATGCTAGAAGGCTGACAATCTTTCTGGACAGTACCATCAACGCTAGGTGTAAAAAAGATTGTGAAATGGCGCCCCCAAGATTTTGACACAAAAAAGACACCAGCATTATGTCGAAAAAAAAACACATGAATTAATATTTACTTCGTGGTTTAAAAAGAATGGCATGTGACTAGAGAAAAAAACAGATATTTTGAAACAACTGAAACTGGAGATGGAATAAAATTTTAAATAAGAAAAAAAGCCGAAATAAACCTAGTTATAGGCCACATGAATGGCACCATTAGTTTTATCAGTAGGGTCTAGGGAACATGAAAACAAGCAAGTGACTAAAAAATTGAGTTGCTTTGCAGCTGATAGTCAGCTAGTTCACGAGAAAATGATTCAAGTGTAGCTTTTCAAAGTGAAAACGCATATCCAAATAGAGCAGAAGTAATTAAAAGCTTAAGTAAGCTTAAACGAGACCCTAGGAACATAACATAACGCACTAACAAACCAACTCTTATAAAACATTGGGTTTAAGTGACCCCGCGACGCTTTGCTTGAGTCAGGGTAATTGAAAGCCAGCACGAATGCGTGACTGTTTCTGTAATCAGTACAAGGACGGCAATTTTTATGTTATTAAGTGCATAACTTAGTTTACACAGATTGTTTGATCCCACAATTATATTTAAACTAGGCATATTTTCGCGATCATTTGTGGTTTAGAAAGATTCGGACGAAAGGCTTCCGAATACGAAACGACAAGTCTACGTCAGTTACATAACCTTTCAGAATAAGACTTTACGATGGTAATTGATTAACACCACATTCGATGTCACTGCATTTAATAGGAATTTAAACAAGGAAAATTCCCCGCACAGCCTTGACAGTTTGAAGATGCAGAATCGCAAGCTCTGCTTGATGAAGACTCAACACAAAGGCAAAGAGAGTCTTCAGCTCAGCTAGAAGGCACCCAAACAGCTATTCCCAAGCGTTTGAACCAAATAGGAAAAATTCTAGAACTTAGGAGTTGGGTCCCACATGTGTTGACCGAACGCAACCGCTTGAAGAAGATTCTCCTGCGTACCTGGTGGGACATTAAGTATACACTTAATTACGAATTTCTGGAAACTGGTCGGACGGTGATTGCGGGACGTTAGAGCCGAAAACTGAACAAACTGAGCGACCAACTTGATCAGAAAAGGCCAGTTACTGGGCAAGGAAGCAGATTAGTCATACTGCGGGATGAAAACGTGCAACTCAGAAGACTCTCTTGAACTTGAGATGGGAAGTTCTTCCACACGCAGCATATTCACCATACTTGGCCCCATCCGTCTACTATTTGTTCCAGTCCAGAACGCTAAACGATGGACAATATTTCCAAGATTAAGACCGTTGGCTCTATTTTTCATCTTGAGTAAATTCACTGGAAATCCTGTAAAAATTAAGTCACATACCAAACAATATCTGGCTATCACACAGATGTGCACACTAGTAGAGAGCATCGGTGCTTCTAAAAAGTATGTGAGGCAGGCAAATCACACACAGGAGACGTGTCGACGATCGTATTCAGGCTCATGAGTGGGTGGATATAGAATTTTCCGATTGATTGATTATCTTTGACACAAGAGGTTGAGCACAGCTTGAACTACAGCAAAATCGTCAATGTTTTACTAGTTATAGTCTAATCAGAGAGACATAAGAAGCAGTTGCGCCTAAATTCTTAATTACCCCAAATGACAGTAAATGGACGACGAAACAGGATTAAACGTGAAGAGTGGCACAGTTTTAAAGACATTTCCTCCTTATAGTTGAAGTTAATCCAACTGTGTAATATGCTTAGGTATTACTTTGGTTGATGGGAATAACGGTAAATACCATGCATCGAAATGGTTTAAACAGAAATTGTGGCTAAATGAAGTGGCGGGATGAAGTAACAAGTGGAATTTATCAAATCCCATTGAGGGTTACACAACGTTGCACAGCAGGGTGCGCATGGGTAAATAATGCGACAATTTACTAGTTCACACTGAAGGCAAGGACTTCCTAAACCCTTCAATCACTAAACAGGGCAGTGGAGCAATACTTTGACAGAATCACAGGAAATTATTACAGTGGCAGGGGATTGCGAGGCGAACGTGCATTTTTTTTCCAACATTTAGATAATAACGACAACCCGTGACTGCCTCCAATTAAAACAGCGTTACACCAGAGCATCAATTTTACAAGATGTAGGAACGCCTACATTTAACAGGAGCAATTTTCTTGGTCTTTCGTGTTGTGAAGTGCAACCACATGAAGGCCTATAACCCAGGAATTGCCATCTTCTACATGAAATAATTCGCTGGTCAATAATTGGACTTACACATTTCTAAACGCAAGTGATGAAATTACGTTCTATGGAATAAATCAACAAGACAAAACGAGCCTCAACTTCAAGATCGAAGTGTTTGAAAAAGTTATCAGTAAGTGAAACAAAGAAGTGTTTTTGAATACTAACCGAATCTTTCTGCAAAATGACCTTGAGCTCAGTCTTTGGCTCCCCAGGCTCTTTTACTGAAAGCCACTCAGTTTATCACCACAAGGATAATGACTTTTACAAGCTAATTGCAATTTGGATTGAGAGTTGTAGCCACGGCGTGGAAAAATTGTCAACAGACGATTGCTTTAGAGTTAAGTCTGGTCTCCGCATTTGTGCGAAAACTACCAACAAAGAATCTTTTAGTAAATTGTAGAAATTAGTTTAAATTACAGAAAAGAGAGCTATTTGCTCTTTGTAAAGTAACGTGCACCCTCGGAATACTTTTGTGTTTGGAGCCAGTGACAGTACGGCCATTCTTCGCCACTGTCATGTCACGAAATAATAAACCATGAGGTCTGGTGTCAGAAAACAGCGGCTTATTAATTGCACGCTTGAGATAGTCATAAAGGTTTCGGCAATTGGCATTTGCAGAACAAAATAAAAGTGCCTTCGCAGAGCAAGAGCTGAAACTTGACAGAATGTAGTGCCCAAAACTTGGTGTCATAAGTTGTTTTTCTTTTGAAGAGAAACAATAAGCTACGATTTAACATCAAACCCCTATTTGGATCAACGACAAGTTCGCAAACTGTAGTTTATCAGTAAAGACACCGTCCGAATAAAATGATGAAAAATGGGGTTAGCAAAATTAAGCACAAGAAGTGGCCTTAAAATTATTAAAGTAAATTACACCTAAGTTAGCAAAAGTGCCATGGCATCCACTTTGCGGACCATTTTACGAACCTGAGGAAACGCGAGTGGTCACAGCTGTGAAACGACAAAGGTCACATACAACATAAGCTATTTGATGCGATATGTAGAGGGAATTGACAACACTGGACCAAAGTACAAGTGCATTTGAGTAAGGAAACAGGCAATACAAAATGACATCTAATTGAGTCGGACAGAAATAGTGTTGCCACATATGGCTAAAGTAATTATTATTGCAAAGAACACTTTCCCAGCAAATTTCTGTTACGTACACTTGGTGAAGTTCAAACTATTTGAAAAGGCACAAGGCCCACCCCATAGTGGTGAGGCGTAAGACTAGTATTATGAGCTACTGAATGATTGATAAATTATACAACATTGTTATGAGAGCATAACAGGTAGCAATGTGACTCACCTGGATCTAAAACTTTGGTACTAAGTTCGTGGAGAGACTGAACTTCCTGTTCTTTGGGAGCATGAAGAACAACCATGGTAGACCCACATAGGCAAACAACACAGCCAATTTTGCCAGTGAAATTGAGACGTTCACCAAGGAAGTGGGAACTGAGGACGGCAGACACGAGGACAGAAAGGCCCCCCATGGGAGTAACGAGAGAGGCGGGGGCGAAAGCGTAGCCCGCAAAGTTGGCTACCTCCCCCAGACCCATTAGAATGAGCCCCAGCCACCACACCCAGTCACAGAGATACTGGTAGCCACCATCACCTGCGCAATAAAACGACGCACATGATAGTGAATTGTAAAATGGTCCTGACCTCAAGAAAAGTGGTCACATGGGAATGAGGCACCAAAACCGTGCAATTAGGTGCAAGATTCTTCTTAGGAATATACCTGTGTCGCATAACAACTATTTAAATAATGATTAATGGAACATATTTCGCTCATTTAAGTCACCGGTCTTTCTGCTAGCCTTGGTCAATCACAGGAAATATTGCACACTGGTAATTATGATCACCTTTTTTAAAGTTTTTTTTAATGTTAAAAAATAAATAGCCCAACCAGCATCAATCACTTCGCAAGTCAAAATTCCACCTTTTAGATGGCGTCAGACCTTGCACAATCTAAGCGAAACAATTTGAGCTCAGCAAATATCTCGATAAAACTATCTTGCTTGAAGCCTAGGCACAAATGAACAGCAAATATCTGGCCTAAATATGTGTTTTAGGGGGTCATCAACTTGTTAAAGTGGAGAAAAACAACAAATTTTCTCTGAATTTTGACCATGGCTTCAAGTATCTTTGAACTAAATCAGACAACCTGTCGGCCTCGAGAGTTAGTGTCGCCTTGAATCGCAGTACCAAGAAGTCACTCAAAATTTTTCAGTAATCCGTTTCCGTTGCCATACCACAGCGCCAAAAACTCAAGCATGCCCTTAAAATTTATAGATGTAAATTTGATCTATGTCTTATTAGAAAAAACGGAAATCGGAGATATTTGCATCAGCTGCAGTTTCAAATATACTACTTTGATTGTCTATAGACACATGCTTCCGATAAAAAATAAGGACTAACTGGAGCATAAAGTCGAGTACAAGACAACTGGAATTAGCTCAAACAAAAGGAAAAAAGTATATTTAGTATTGGGAGCTCTGAATGAAGAGGTCCGACACAGAACTTGAAACATGTAAGATGAAAATAGGCAGACTGAATGCAAGTTCCGTTCACACGAAGTAAATAATGAAAACCAAAAGCGATAATTTACCAGCTCGAGTACCAGTTGCAGCGAGTCTACGCAATGCCACCTTCTTTACGATAAAACTGCACCCTATAAAAACAGTTGACGAAACTGCTAAAGCTAAGCCAATGTAGAAATGGGAGTCAGATTGGGTCATGTTTTCCACAGTCCCGAAAAGCAATGACCAGCTAATGAGGAAATTCGACCCAACCAATAGGGACCAGAGCAACCTTGAAAAATAAACGAACACGAATATTGCAAATACTTTAAAACAAAATGCCTCAAAAATTTTCAAGTGGGATCAATTACTAAAGACGTTAAATCCAGAAAAATCTTTCATTATAGTTCCTTGCATTTATGTTTCAAAAATTTGGTAAAAAGCAAGTTGAGGAGTTAATTTATGAGGCAAATATAATTAAAAGAATTGTATTTAAAAAAATTTACAATTGGTGTTTCAAAACGTTTTTATCTGTCCGATAATTTCAAAAAAAAACAGAATTGTTAACATGAAACTTTATCCCAAATCATTCCCTCAAATCATCAACGCAAATAAGTTTATATTCGTAAAATATACCTATCCAACAATGACGGCCAAAATTAATATAAAAAAGCAACAATAAAACAAATTTAGTTTCGAAATTATAGAGAATTGTAAATTTCATACGAATGTCTAACTATTCACTTCTTTTCTATAACTATCATCATTGCCCGATGGATTTTATGCAACAGCGGGGTTGCAGCATCAAAGTATCCACAGGCCTTTTCAATATCAGTATTGGATCCACCACTAACCCAGCAGCCGGACGGCACGAATCCTTTCGACTTCCCTCAAGGGGCCACCAATTATCCCGTTCCCGTCACCACTGGCACCACCCAGCCCCGTGGTCTTTACCGTGACCAAATGCAAATGCAGTACTCTTCGTCAACGTGCTCGAACAATCCCACCCCCTATCGCGTTGACAATGATTTTGCGGCGACGCCTAAATTGATCCCCCCAAGTTCTCATATTTACATGGGTGAGGTGACCTACCAGCAGCAGCGTTGGCAGCAACAACAGGCGCAAATGGTGGGTGGTGGTGGTGGCGGCGGCGGCGATATGTACATTCAACAGTCACAGCACAGCAGCAGCAGCAGCAGTGTGATGATGGTGCCGCCGACTCCACAGTCACAGCAATACTACATGGCCCCACCAACAGCATTGCCCAATCAATTGCAACAGCACCAGCAGCAGATGAAGCCACATCAACCTCCTCCACAGTCAGGCCACTCACGGGCCTATCCTGCTCTTATGTAAATACTTGCAAACGGTGCAAGTGCATTTTGCGTTCTAATGCGTCGCCCGCACATCACTGGAGATCTCAATTATGTAGTCCGGCCTCTGGCCCTGTACAAAGTTCCCACGTACGATGTAAATTTATACATATGTAATCACGAATCGACGATTTGAAACGCATTTTAAGCTATTTCCCTGCGATCGTCATCAAAAATAGATGTGTATCTACATTTTGTGAGCTTGTTTTGACGAGACGCCTCAACCACCCCCAATGGCGTCACTTTGGGCGGCAATGTCAGAAATACCAACCCAACTCTGATTACGCCTGTCGTTGCTTCTGTCTATGTACATCAGAAAAGTAACCATAATTTTTTCACCGTCGTGTACATTATCATGATTTTCTTTTAGCAAAATACGTTACTTCATTTCACTACTTAGATCTAATTTTATGTACGCGTCCTAGTTTGCTAAAGGCTTCGTGATAAAAATTTTAGTATAATTCCATTTTCGACCATTTGCTTTGTGGTCCTACTAGCATAAGCCAATAAATGTAAGCCCTTGTAACTCTATCAATTTGAATGCATTACTATTCTGTTCAACATTTATATTTTACTTTTAAGACAACCGTGGAAATAGAGCTAAATCAATTGTATTACAAGTTATTTAATGTACCCACCAGAAGAAGAACGTCACATTTGAATTGTCAAATTTAGTAAAAGAATCTATTGGTATCGATTCAACGTTGTACAAAGGCTTGTTTTAATGTTACTTGGGTTTTTAAGTTCAAACACTACCGGCTAACAGGTTAGGTATATAAAATAAAAGAAAGTGCCCAGTTGTACTTCCTATTTTGTAAACAGTGGTCATTAAATCTGTTAATGAATGTCCTTGCAGTAGCCTAAATTTTTATAGTTGGGGAATTAAATCGAAACAATAAATTAAAAACAATGTTTTTTCACTATTTGCTGAAAACAAGGCAAGTGCATTTGCAAACGATGAACAAGTTTTTTGATACAGTAGGAAATCGGTAACTTGTATTACTGATACAAGGTAATTGATTAATAATTACGGCTTAAAATATGATTGTTTTCATACTGAATGTGCATAGTGCATTCGTATTTCCTTTTAAATGGTTTTATGTTATACTGTGCTAGAAAATTGCGCGCGTTGTATGCCTCCTTATGATTAAAAGATGACGGGGGTAAGTGAGGTTGACTTGCCCACGACGCCAAACAACGATGGGAAGGATGAAGTCGCCCAAGACATAGACAGTAGTATTTCAAAGACAAAAGAATTTGGTGTAGTGAAGCAGTGTAAAAGTAAGTGACGAATATTTCCGTTCTTAAATGCTTAGCAGATAATGCTCATCTTAAAATTCTCGTGCCTTCCATAGCCGCTGGGGCGATTATCGGAAAAAATGGAGAAGCTATTACAAATGTACAAAACTGCACTGGTGCCAAGGTTAAAATGTCCAAGGCCAATGATTTTTACCCAGGTTTATTCACTTCTGTCCAGTAATTTTCGCAGGAACCAATGAACGCGTTTGCTTAATTATTGGGTCCACGGACGCAATAACCGAAGTTTACGATTATATTTCTGAAAAGATTTATGAAAAGCCTGAGACAGTTTCTCGTATGGTGCCGGATGGGAGAGTTCCTTATGAACGACACAAGCAGGTAGGCAATTTCGTGAAGTAAACAATAATGAAGCCAATGCTTCCGATAACCAGGTTTTGCTAATAATTTTATGCAATTTTGCGAATCGCCTTTAACCAAGTGTTTTCTTTAATGTGTATCTCATTATTAATTTTGGTTTTTTCCATTCTAATTCAGGTGGTTTTGGTGTTCCTTATCGCTTTTTGCCGTCATCTTTATGAAGTATCCTTGTATCGCTCCTTTCTTGAGATATCACTCACAAATATTTGTACTTGTTTATGCATCCGTTAGTTTGAACACATGGGTATCTTCATTGTTTGATCTTTTTCTTTCTACCATCAACTAGGTGAAAATCTTGGTACCCAACAGCACTGCCGGGATGATAATAGGCAAAGGCGGGAGCTTTATAAAAGAAATTAAAAACAAAACTGGTGCTTTTATACAAGTCTCTCAAAAATCTAGAGAAATGAGTCTGGCTGAAAGATGCATTACCGTCGGAGGTAAGTTCGTTGGCAACAGAGCTTGAGGCAACGTTTTTCAATGACTATTTACTGGTATTAATTTCGATTCATAGATCGGACATTAATCTGCATGCGTATAACATAGTATAGTGTTCATCAACTCAATAACTGATCTCAGATTTGGTTTTATTTTGCTAATGTTTTGTGACTTCGTAATTTTCTACTCGGCTAACTGCCCGTTTAGAATGAATGAACTATCCTTGTTATGTTTTAAACCTAATAATCCCCTCCTGTACATCTCCATTTTTTACGATTCCTTGTGTCTAACATAGTGTTTCGTGTACTCCTTTCGCCCACTCTTAAATTTTAAACATGTTTTACGTTTCCATTTTGCCGTTGTTTCTTTTCTAAGGTGTACTACAACGGTTGTATTTCGGTTTTTGTTTACTATTGGAAGTAATATTACCTCAGACATTACATGGCATGCAAGCAGCCTGTTTTTGGGTATTTCCCACCTAATAAATGCGCATGTCATTCCAGTTTTATCTGTGGTTTCCATTAAATTTCCTTGTTGCCTATCAATTAGTCTCCGCGTTTCACATCACGAGGATATAGAATTTCTCCTAGTCTGCTAAAATTGCAGTTTCCTGGAGAACCGAAAATATTGGTTTTGAGTGTCCCTCTTGATATTGGGTGGTCGATTCATACTGGTAATGTTTCTTAATACCTCGGTTTGAATGCCTGTGCAGTTTCTGCCTTACCATCACTTGAATTTAGGTTATTCATTGGAATCCTAATAAAGCAATGGAACCTTTATAGCTACGGATTCAGAAACGCTGAAATCCTATTCAAGTCTCTGCCATGATATTTAACACATATTACCACTATTTTAATATGCAATGCTGTTATCCTGAATGTCATGGGCGCTTAGACGATGTGGTCGACCACATCTTGTGCATACATGTTTCAATATTACGATGTAAACTCCAATGCTGATGCAAACTATGCAAGGTGTTTCATCATAACTAGTATCTATCCAAAATATTGAATTTACATCATGCTTTAATTGCTTCTGTGTCTTGAAAGACAACTTCGTCCGCACAACGAAGTCGGATAATCTAGTAAAAAAATAGCAAACGCAAACCTAAATTTTCGTTTTCGTGATGACTAAGGCCTTTTAGTCGCAAATTCCTGGCTGCAATGCAGTTTCTTCATCCATCCTATGTCCATGTAAACTTAAACAAACCCTTATATGGCTTGAAGTAGCTTGTTGTTGATCGGAATATGAGCATCATAATTTCACTTTCCCTCCCTTCTCTGCATCCCTCTCGAGTAAATATATTGTACGAATTTATCGACAGTAGTATCACACGTCCTGTGCCCTCCTCCGTAAATTTTCTCCTATATGATATTCTCTCATTCTCAAGCAGAACATTTGGGCAATATTGGTATACAGAATTTTTTATGCCGGTGTCACGTTTCTAGGTGAGATGACACAAAGAATCAATGGCGGGTTTACATAGACGTTTGTACTTTTTTACTTTGATTTACCTTTAGAAATCACAATACTTAGGATTTTCATTCTATTCAATTCATTTGTTTTTGGTTTATTGCTTTTCTGAGGGATTACATTACAACCTACCTTGGTACTTTTGAAGCTGATGTATCGTGTTTATTTCGGTCTAATTCGTGCCTTCTTCCTCGTTACCGGTAGCCTAGTCGTAAACAGACTTCACCTTTTCACATCAAAATGTTCAATATATTTCAGAATGCAACAATTTTAACGGATATTTCTTGTAATCTTTCACCTGCAAGGGTTTATAGTTGTTTTAAAAAACGACTTTATAACTTCCTACTATTTTAGTTTCCAACATACATAATCCCCATAGTTTCCTATGTGAATTTCAGTCCATACCGTAGCTCAACCGGACTCCTTCCTCCAAGGGCAGATGCACCTCAAAATAGGGAAGTAAAATTGTACCAATCGGTTCTACTGGCGTTCTTCAAAGACAACTGTTCAAAATTGTTCAGAGTGCTATAAACCTTGGCCGGTCACAACGACTACCGAATCCACTTAACGGCACACGTGAATTTCCGAGGGTCACGAACAATTGCATATCATGGTGTCCGAATAAAGCCTTGCCCAAGTTGCACTTCGTTGAATGCTCTCACACACTGTAAACTGCTATGAAAAAGCCGAGAAAAGTGTGACGTCGTTCTAATAGTACTACACAGCGGTTGTCACACAAGACTACGTTGGAGAAACTTGAAAATCACTTCCTGTGGACTTGCAGCTGAAAATCTCAACATCGCAATGGATTTACCAAAGGGAAATGCATCGCCACCAATTAAATAACCACTTTCTTCTGTTTACTGGCCCTTGTGACGTTTCAGAGTCGTTAAATGGTTTCTTGGGTGGTTTATTAACTGGGAATTAAATTCATCAACGTACATTTTCAGGATAGCGTGCTGAAACCTTGGATAATAACGTCAACCTTTTCGTGAACATTTAATAGGAACAGGTTTTCTAATCTCCAAATTTTCAACATTCAAGCACAATTTTTGTAATTTTTTTGGTAATGTGTCAGCTATCACTTAGCGTAGTAAAGTAAACGAAAGCTTTTCGACAACGGCAGGTCACTGGAATATGGGTGAAAATAGCGCTATGTAACCTCAAGATTGGCGACTCTCAGAACTCGGTATTCATACTCTTTCAATGTACTTTCTTCTAGTGAAGGAATTTTTTGTTCACTAGGGTTTAGGTCGAACATAATTCAGTTGTTTTCCATTGTCGCTTGGATACAATTCTTAAAGGGGAGTTGTAGTTTCTCCGAGTATCTCCCCGTAAAAACTGGCTTTTAGTTCTTTCTGAATTGCAATGGTATAGGGGTTCTACGATCATACGAGTTCATCCCTACCGTAACTGCACAGAGATGGCTCGCATGTGCCTGTTTTGGTATTAATGTTTCAATCAACCTTTTAGGACATCAGCCACTTCCAGTTGCGTAGTTCCTATACATCAAATATTTATTTGCTGGTTCATAGGTGAGTTAAATCAGACTCGCGAAACAATACGGCTTCTCCTTACGAAAATTGCTGAGGATCCTCTCTCGTCAAGCTGTCCCAATATTTCTTACGTTGATGTTGCTGGTCCAATAGCGAGTGCCTACCCGACTGGTTCTCCCTACGCCCTCTTCAGCGCTCCTCCTACGGGTCCGCCACATCATCACCATCCCTCAACTGCGTCTGGTCTCTCCCCATGCTCTCCTCCTGGAAGATGCTTTATGCACCCATTACAGCAACATGGTTGTGGCGGGCCCCTCTCTCCATCTACCACTGCAAATGGACGAGATGCTGTAGGTGCTGGCCGCCGTGCGTTAAATGGCCGTGGCACGGCACCTCAAAGCCTTCTTGGTGCAGCTTCATTGCCCCACAGTGGGGGCAGTGGTGGTGGAGGGGGAAGCCTCTGGCCACCAACAACCCCTCCTCTACCTATTAGTCTTGATGCTGTGCGTACTATTCTCCATTCGTCTGGTTACACGGAGGACGCAATGGAGGAAATTACCCATGCGATGCGCGTACTCAATGCCTACGGGCTGCTTTCACTCACAAGCCTGGCGTCATACATTGGATTCAGTGGCGGAGGGGGCGGGTCAAGGCCATCGACCTCACCACAAATCCCAGCGGCTCCACGGGCACAGCTTCCAGCATCACAGGAATCAGTCTCGTCTCCCTCTCCCCCGTTTGCTTCCCCCGCCTTTTCCTCCGCCCCTTCGGGACAGCAGCAGCCGTCCTCACCAGCAGATTCCTTTTATCGGCCGCAGGACAACGGAAGTGGAGGAACCGTTGCAGACAACGCTGATACCGGTTCTCGGTAGAGTGCACGCCACGATCGAACCGCCACCCTTTAACTACCCCTAGTCTTTCTGTCGAGGCAACCAAACTGCATCTCTCCAATTTCTGTCATTTTGTCATGCGTAGCAGCCAACCTGTGATATCACGCCCACGCCCCATCACGCTTCTATTTTCGGCAACCATCCTACAGACCATTGCGTTATTTTGACCAAATTATTGTAGCCTCAATTTTATGGTGTCATTCGCGCCTCCCTTTTCTCTTCGGTTTATTTGTCATTGTTTCTTCTACCATTAGAGTGAATATCGTTGGACTACAGAGAACGCTGCCTTTTGAACCCCTATTCTCGCCTTTACTGAAGTTTTATTTCTCCATATTCTTTCCCATTATTTTAATCTCACACGACTTTTCTCCGTGTAATATTTGGAACCATAAATACCATGCTAGGTATTGTCTTGCTCGAACTTATTACTTGTTTTTTGCTTCCCAATTGTAAGGCACCTTTAGAGACACAGGTGCAAGAATTTAAGGACTTGTAGTTACTTTAAAATCCCCAAGGAAACCAACCTTAGATCCTAGGCCACCCGGAATGTTCTTTTGAAACCGTGTCTTTTCTACTGAATGCACCTTTGAGTATAAATTACACTCCGACCAACACGACTTGTTTATCTTCAGATTAAGGCGTGTACTCGACGAGAGTTTCTGACCTCTCTCGAGGTCCTTCACTAGGGTTCGTGCTGTTTGTCGGCGAACTTGTAGGTTGGTGCCCTGAATCGGCTATCCACCTTGAGTTGGTCACACGAGTAGTCCACACAGTTCGATTTTTAGATCAACAAATAGTCATTTTAAGGGATTCCCAGCTCTGATATTTGGACGCAGTAAGTGTGATGATTAGATGGTTTTTGCCTATCCATCTTATGTGTATGTGGCTACTTTGCCACTATCTTTCAGTGACATGCCTGCGGTATTTGATGTATGCCAATGCCGATTTAGTCGAGGCGGGGCTCCAGTTTGAACTGGTTTTACACAAAGGTAATGTTGAGGCCATCCTTCGTACCTTGATTTTATTTAAGATTTTGGGATATGGTATCTTTTCTAGCTCGTGTTGAAAGTTGCCAAATAGGCCAATAAGAAACCCGAAATCAGGGCTGTTTGGATATTGTGATTTTCAAAGCGTGAAATTAGGTTGTCTGTGCTCGTAGGAGTTGCGGATAAAATCGTTGAATCAATTTCAACGAGTATGAAACCAATTTATCTCTTCTAGCGTAGCCACAAGCGCGATTTATGCAAACGCCAAAGTGTTGCAAAGAACAGACAGATAACCTCTCGCCCTAAATAGTCGAGATTTCTTCTACAAGGCCACAGCCTCAAGTAACCCCCAATTAGACCAATCTAGGAATCGGTCTATCTTGTGCTGATATCATTATTGAGACAATGAGGAAGCCTGTAAATAATCATGCAATTCAACCCAGCCTTTCAAGTTGTCAAATGTTTCATCGAAAAACGAGACGGTCGACCAGTAACAGCGTCGACTGTCTTAGATCTAAGCAACAACAGGTGCTGATTTCCTGTTTCAATTTGGTCTCACAGTTGACGTCGGCCATTGACCTAGGTGCACCTCTACCAGTCCGGGGAGGTCCTGCGTCTATAAGTCCGGTAAGACTCCGTTTAGCATTGCCCGCTACTAACAAGCATGAACAACTCTTAGAAGTCCCTCGTAATCGTCAAGTTGGCGCGGACGCCCAGTGAACATACTTGCCAAGCCGTGCACAATATTGTGACGAAAGGTCCGCCAATTGCAAGGTCCAGGCGACTTTCACTGGATAAACTCGGAGCAGACAACCCAGAATTTGAGCACATTTATCCTCTTACCATAATTCGCCTTCCATGAGCTCACGGACAGCCCCATTATACATGGTAAGTAAGAAAGTCGGGAATTGAAACCTTGAGCAATTTCAGAGTCATAAATAATGTCACGGTTCCTGGCCGATACCTATTCTCCACACCCACGACTTTTCCTTGGGCTTAGACGGTGCTAAAGTCTATTCAAGACTAGACTTTGTCCAGACTTATGACCTATGAAGACGCACTCAGAACTACTATCATCACTCCATTCGTACTATTTGAACTTCTAAGAATATCCCATGATTTACGCAATGTGGCTCAGACTTTTCAAGCTTTCATAGACAAAGTTATTGTTGTAAATTTTCACCCATCTTAAAGCCCATGGCCTTATAATCAACCATAAAACATGTTGATTATTTTTCAATGTAAAATTAATAAGCCTTATTTTTTTACTTCACATAAGGCTATTTGTGTGTGCATGCTTTGCTAGCACTAGTATGTCCTTGGAGGGCCGTGGGAACCTTCAATAAGTTGAGATGATTGTAGTGACTGCTGTTTGTTGTGTTAATTGGCAGTGGGTAAAGGTGTGGTGCTGGGCGGTGATGTTTTGACGCATTCCACACACGTGTACTCCAGGTGCTTGTGTCACCTCGGTATTCGCCATGCACGCGAAAATGCCCATGAATCCCTTCACGGCGTTATTTGTTAACACCAGACCACACTAAAATTTCATCGGAAATTGCACATTCATGCTTAGTCGTAATGCAGTTTTAGTTGGACATCTGTGTAAACATGTTTTGTATAATTGATAAAACGGATTCCGGAGGACTGTGAGCAAGAATTGCCTCAAAGTTGCCATCAAGAATGACAACAAAGTCAATTCCTCATTTCCAAACAACGATGAACCTGCCCAACACTCCCGTATTTCCACCTCACCCCGTGTCTTGTTTCTGGCAACCCCCGAAACTCTTGTCTATTTTGCCAATATACCACGCTAACCTATAGGTGTGCCCCTCATTCAACACTCTAGGTGAAAAATAACTATGGCGGATTGTCCGTAATTTCTCGTGGTAATTTCAGGCACGTTCGTTCGTGTCGTCTATCGATTGCCATTCCAGAAAATCCTCTAGCTGTCTGCTCGCGTAAAGGAAGGGTGCTGAGACGTCGAATTATTGATTTTGCTACACTGAATCTGGCATCAAAATGAGATTGACTTTGTAACTCCTTGGATGAAGAAAAGGTCGTAAATACCTCTGCCTGTCTTCTCTTTGTTCCGGGGTATTACGGGCTGTTAAATAACTAGATTGAGAAGTTGTGCAAGCAACATCATAATACCCTCGAGTTAATGTCAAAGCTAGTCATCGAAATATTGTCCCGGCTTACTAAAAAAAATATCTCCACAATGTTGTTAATCATTTTCACAAGCAATTTGGGCCGCTCATGTTCTGTGTTGCAAATGCTTGACTGTACAATGAGGTCTTGCTTATCAGACTGACAATGGGTGAGCGAACACATCGCACTTCTATTTTTATATTGTCGGATATATCCTCGATTTGCATGGCTATTACGATGATGGTGAAAAAAATATACTCGTAATTACGGATATAAGGCACGTTCAAGCCTATAGCATGCGTCATTAAGCGATGTAAGACTAACATCTGAAACCAAATCCTAGGTTCCGAAGTTTCTCAGGTAAATAATACCTTCGATACCTATCAATTTTAGTACCTGGACAGTGGGCGAGGCGAGGTACATTTCACAAGATGTTTGTTAATTGGGGTTCAGTTGTGGACATTATGAATGAAACATTTGTTATTTTATTGTTCTCTACCCAAAACAAGTCTAGGTTAAAGTAAACTAGGTGCTATCTCAAAAATGGGTTGAGGACATCGACGTCCCAGAGTGCGCTAGCTAATTGAAAAGTGTTTAATAATTGTGTTTTTATTAACTTGCTTTCCAATCAAATATTGTTGATTGCTGAAATCAAGTAAGGACTTTTACGGGAACTGTTGAATGCTCAGTGCATTTAGCCAAGATAAGAAACCAATTGTTTGAGATATCTACCTTAAACATACATCACTTAATAACCAAATTGGTCAGATTTGAAGACTGTGGAAATAAACAAGAACACTCAGGCTAAGATAATAATTGACTGCTTAATTGAAAAAAATGCGAGGACATCTTTGCGGCGGTGACTGAAAACAGGCCGACAAACTGACCGACGGGCACATCACACCATGCTACTTTTTCGCCACCAATCAATGGACTGCTGGTGCTGCCATGCCCAAAATACGGTGCGTGCCTCCCTGTTGTGATCGTACGACGTGCTTGCTGGCTTACGAATAATGCACGCCCATCACAACGCAGCCAATAAGATGTGACGTCGAGTCGACGCACCGTCTTGCGTTTACCGTCACGAGAGTGCGCTCGCATACCGGAGCGTGCGTGAGTTTTGCGTGTTGGGGAGCCAATCGGGCAGGAAATTTCATTAACAAGGCACAGTTGGCGGTTTGAACATTAACACGTTGCATAAGGATGATGTGCATGCATTCGGGCGGTTTCCTAAGCCAAAACTACCCTGAAGCTTACTTGTAAGCACACCTTACTTTCCGCAATTTCTTGCTTACTAAATGAGTGGTGGTATTAGGGAATGGCTGCTTCAGCAACCCAGAGAAGTGCATTTTCTTGTCAACACAGATAGCACATTTCCAACAAGGAATCCTTCCCGATAGTCTTTGCTATTCATTGAATCCCATGACTTGGGATGACCGGAGTAGCGATGCACTGTCTCTTTTGTTCCAAATCATTTTTATTGCTATTTTAACCGATGGATTTTCAATACATGCATTCGGTCCCTTAATATTTTCCACAAATGGGGCTATTCGAGAGTTGACTATAGGTTTTTGCATTGGATAATATTTCTTCGACTTGGTAGGTCCCTCACCTCCAACTCTTGCATATCTAATTGCCCATACTTGTCTAGCGGTGTTGAATACAGTATTAATTTATTGGAATTTGCAATTTGATCTAGGTAGAGCATCGTAAAAACTGCTTTAATCGTATTTGTTTCTTTTTATTACTTCTTCTGTTTTGACGTGTTACCACGCTAATTAACTACGATTTCCGAAAAAGCAAGATTGTTCCATGAACTTCTTTGCCATGTGCATTATTATTTCAATT